CATCTTTTTCACTTATTCACAGTTCTCAAAAACGTAGGGCTATTTTCACCCCTAAGTGTTATCTGGCCTGCTATCTAGACAGCATATTATTCATCTATCAAGAGCACAACAGGGAAGGCATCTCAAACATGTTAAACAGAAAAGGGCATCATGTACCTTATTGCAGGCAACTAATAAAGTAAAAGGAGATTAAGTGTAATTATTTCTGAATCTTATAGTGTGCATGTGTGTGTTTGTATGCAAGTATATATAAAACCAAGAAGCAGAATCCAGACTATGGAATATAGAAGCACTTCCTACATATATAAGTACAAAAATACACACCAGGTTTGGGTTGTTTTTTACTTTATAAAAGGTGCCCTTTCACACTACACAACTATTAGAACTATAGTGCTATATTCTACTTTAACTGCTATGGCAAAATGCTGTGGAATCCTGGGATGTGAAACTCAGGGAGAGGCATTTACAATTCGCAGATTGAATCCACGCCAGAAAAATAATCCGATTGAGTATGCAGTATTTTGCCCGGTTTTCATCCATGCCAGATTTCAAATTTGTAACAGGTTTATATGGGAGAAGGCAGTCTTTCAGATAGCCTGGTCCCAAGTCATTTAGGGCTTTGTAGTCAACACAAGGACTTTGAATTGAGTTTGAAAGCAAATTGGAAGCCAATGCAATTCTTGTAAAACTGGTGTCATGTAGTCTCTAACACCAGACTGACTACTTCAGCTTTCAAACACTGTTCAAAGGCAGCCCTGTGTAGAGCACATAACAGCAGTCTAACTGGGAAGTAATTCAAGCATGAACTACTGTGGCCAGATCTGTCCCAGGAAAGGGCACAGTTAACACACTAGGCAAAACTCATCAAAGGTCCTCAGCCATTGCAACAACCTGGTTTTCCAGGAACAGAGCTGGGTCCAAGAACACTCCCAAGCCACGATCCTGATCTTTCAGAAGGAAAGCAACCCCATCCAGATCAAGCCATGATCCCAATCCCAGGCTCGTTTTCCTACTGACCAGCAACACCTCTGTCTTGTCTGTATTAAACCTCAGTCTGTTCACCCTCATCTAGTCCTTTACTGCATCCACACAATTCATGATACCACAGCCTCCTTGGCATCAGTTGTAAAGGTAGATAGAGCTGGATATCATCAACAGATCAGTATTGTCCCCTATGCTTTTTAACATCTACATGAAGCCACTGAGAGGTCATCAGACCCCCAACCCCAAAGCTCTGGATGACCTCTCCCAGTGGCTTCATGTAGATGTTAAAAAGCATAGGGGACAATACTGATCTCTGCAGAACCCCACAGCTAATGGCTAGAAGGATGAACAGTCCCCAAGCACCAACCTCTTGGAACATTCAGTCAAGAAAGAATGGAACCATTGCAAGGCAATGCTCCCAAGTCCCATATCAGCCAAACAATCTAGAACAGGGGTAGGCAACCTAAGGCCCGGGGACCGGATGCGGCCCCCCAAGGCCTCTGGACCAGCCCCAGGCCGGTCCTGCCGCCGCCGCCGCCACCGCCCACCATGATGATATTGATTATTGTTGTTATTACTGTATTTTCCGGCGTATAAGACGTCTGGACGTATAAGACGACCCCCCACTTTTCCAGTTAAAATATAGAGTTTGGGAAGAGTATGACTTCCAAAACTGTTGTTGTTGCTGTGCACCTTAAAGTCATTTCCAACTAATGATGACACTAAGGCAAACCTATCATGAACCTCCTTATACCCGGTGTATAAGACGACCCCCCCCATTTCAACCCCAGATTTTGCAGGTTAAAAAGTAGTCTTATACGCCAGAAAATAAGGTACTTGTTCTTGGGGTTTTCTTTTTTTAATTTTTTTAAATTTTTTAATTATTTAATTTTTTCAAAATTATATTTATTTATTTATTTATTTTTGGTGCTTCGGCCCCCCCAATTGTCTGAGGGACAGCAACCCGGCCTCCGGCTCAAAAAGATTGCCTACCCCTGATCTAGAAAGATACCGTGGTTGATGGTATCAAATGGCATTGAAAAATCCAGAAGGACCAACATGGATGCATTCCCCCTACCCAACTCTCAGTGTACGTCATCCACCAAGGGGACCAAGGCTGTTTCTGTCCCAAACTGGAATGGGTCTAGGTAATCCATTTCATCCAAGAAAGCCTGGAGTTGTGTTGCTACCATTCACTCTAGGACCTTATTTAGAAAGGGGAGACTGGAGACTAGCTGATAGTTACTTCGGGAGATGAGTTCCAATGAACCATAACAACTGTGCTGGAGAAGACTGAACTGATGTAACAGAGGCATCAAATAAGTGTTTCTTGCTGTCTGGATTGTTGCAAAGTAGGTTCTAAAATGAGCCTTAACATGTGCTTGGTTGGATTCATGCTGAGTCTTTCTCCACCATCATTCTAGTCCTCTATCCAAGTGCTTAACTGCCTGAGATCCTCAGAAAACCAAGAAGCCTGTTCTCTGCACTCAAGTAATGGATGCTTGAGAATGACTGTGTCAATTGCCTGTACCATCTCCCTTTTCCATAGACCAAGCAGGGCATCAACAGAATCACCAACTCTAGCAGCTAGAACATCCCTCAGAGCATTCAGGAATTCTTCTGGCTCCATTAATCTCTGGGGCTGGACAATTTTAATGGGCCGACCACTTCTGCAGTTGTTAGGAATCCTTGGAAATCTAAACCCTATGAGACAGTAGTCCACTCATGACAACACAATTCTTTCAAACCCTCCTACCCCCATATCATCATAATCCTGACCAACAAAAAACAGATCACGAGTGTGGCTTTGAGTATATGAGTTGAACCAGATGTTGAGACAGGCCCATAATTGCTACAGAAGCCATGAAATCTGAGCTGGCCCTGATGAGGGTGCCACAGCATGGACATTAAAATTCTCCAACACAATAAATCTGGGGAGATTAACACCTCTGAGGCCACCTCCAGCAGTTCAGGCAGGGAGACAGTTGGGCAGCAGGGTGGACAGTATATCAACCAGATCCACAGCCTGTCTCACTGCCCTATTGCTTCCTCAAAGGATATACACTCAAACCCTGGAAACAGTCAGATAAGGTACTTCAATATGGGAATGGAATCTACTGCAAACCCCACATAAGGCTACCAGTAGATCCCAATCTAAATTCTGCCTGCCACTGGTTTATAAAATTCAAAGGCCATGAGAGTTCATTGATCTTCATATAAAATAGGTAAATTAGAACAGTCACATGCATTACTAAGGGGCTATTAACTCACAATTTATGCTGGAATGGCATTCAAGCAAACAGGCACACAACACTCCAAAGGAATTAGTGAATTGCCTCCTTTGTATGCTATTGCCATAGACTGCATTTCCAACCGCAACATAATCTTATCATGTGTTAATGCTTAACATTCCAGCTGGTTAAGACCAAGTATCACTAAGGTAATATCAGTTTAACCTAGACTTTGACAGCTATTTCATTGTCAAGATTACATGGTTTAACCTCCCTTGCTAGCAGGCCTAAAATTGGATACTTTGCTCTCACAGTAACAAAGGAACCTTGAGTAAAATTATATGGCCACTGGCAGATATTCCAGCAAACTACAGCAAAGGGAAATGATACTGGAAACAAGGCTTTCACCAGCTCTCTTGAAAGACTATTTGCTTCCCTCCAGCTTTCCTCTACATCCTTTTTTAATCTTTTGTGTTGAGTCTTTTTAGATTGTAAACCTGCAGGCAGGGACTATGTTCTGATTGTATGCATGCCACACTGGAAGCCCTTTCAAGAGGGACAAAGATTTTAAAAACTGTTTCCAATAAGTAGATAATAAAGCTATGGCATTTTTCAACACTTGCTAAGCTATTTCTTTGTGGTGGCAATTAAACCAAATATGTGTATGGCAGTGAAATATGTCTTGAAGGAAATAAGCCTATCAAAAGTGCAAATGTACCTCACCTTAAATTCCTGTAGCCAGTCTGACACGGAGAAATGGTGATAAGAACTGAACTAGATGTATAATAAAGGGGTTGTGCAACTGCTAAGCCAGCTTGCAACATAGTCCAAGGGTAAGCACTGCAAACTTGCCAGAATGAAACAGGCTGAACCACAGACTGGATGCATAGCTAATCAGCCTTACAACCTATTCAGCATGTGCCAAGCTTCACTCTAGGAGCCCAGAAAACAGCTTGGGAACTGTGCAGGAAACCCCAGCAAGCAGACATGGGGTGCCTGCATCTACCTCCTGACTGTTTCTGTTTCCCATATTTTTGGCCAGGGCTTTGGACAAAATCTGAATAGAGTCCAACATGGAGTCATCTAGGAATACTGCAAATGAAAAAAAAAAAGTGTTGTGCAGATCATATTTGAGTCCTATGCCAGGATAGAAATTGAACCAATAAATAGAATTTAACTTACTGGGGCTGATTTATGTCTTCTGATGTTAAATTGCTGTAACCATCTATCTTTGAGTTTGCTTCACAGTCCCCTAAAGAAGCTTGAATACCTTCTGAGACCCAATATTCTGTCATGGCTAAAATGGGAATGCTATTTCTACCTGGAGTGATTATACAAGTTGAGCTCAATATACAGCACCTTGGCAGTTTTCAGCCTCCTTAGAACTTAGAGGCAGGCATGAAAGCTTTAATAATAGTCTATGCCAAACATGGGCAGTGCCCATTCTGATTACCAGTGGTGGCAAGAGTTGTCATGGATTCAGTGGTTTGACCCTGACCAATCTGGAAGCCACTCAATTTGGCTGGGTTTCCACTCAAAGTAGGATTTGGGAATTTACTTCTCTCAGAAGCTATTGATATTCACTTATGTAATTCTTTAAAACTGTTTATTGTTAATTTTTAATTCATGTTGTTGTTGTTAGCATTCAAGTCATTTTTGATTTATGGCAACCCTAAGGTGAACCTATCATGGGTTTTCTTGGCAAGATTTGTTCAGAGGAGGTTTGTCATTGCCTTCCCCTGAGGTTGGAAGTGTGACTTGCCTAAGGTCACCCAGTGGGTTTCATGCCCAAGGCAGGGATTGAACCTTGCCCTCTAGAGTCACAGTCCACACCCAAACCACTATACCACACTGGCTCTCTTTAATTCATATACTTTGTTTTCATTCGTGGGTACACCACCTTGGGTCCCATTTGGGAAAAAGGGGGAATACAAATTGAATAAATAAATACATTTTTACTCTCATGAAAATGCACAATTATAATTCTTGGCTGTTTAAAGCAGACCAATTTGGAAACCACTCAGTTTAACTTGACTTCCCAATGGAAGTACTATTTGGTCATTTGTTTCTTCCAGACACTATTTATGTTTTAATATGGTCATTTATGTCATTCTTTTTAACTTAATATTACTAATTTTTAATTCATAGACCTTGTTTTAATAAATGTGTCCCATTTGGGAGAAAGATGGATTATAAATTGAATAAATAAACAAATACATTTTCACTCTCCTGAAAATCCACAATTATAATTCTTTGGCTGTTTGACAAAATGGGATTAAATTTTCAGGAATAGTATACTCTTATGATAGAACAAAGCCTACAAAAGTGTAATTTTTGTGATATATGCTTTTAGGATTTTTTAAAAAGGCAATTTCTGATTTCTTGGCACAACTGCAAGACATTTGTACAAACATACTTGTCTCTTCTGAGAGGATCACAACTGCCAAGGTTCAGGTGAACAGATGCAGGAGTTTTTACAGTGTGAAGGTTTCAAAAAAGAAAAAAGAAAGCACTAATCCCCCTATGTTCTTTGTAGGCAATTTGTATAGAAAAAGACACACAGCCAGGGCCGGCCTTACCATAAGGTAGAGTGATGCAGCCACCCTAGGCAAAAAAGGCTGAAGAATGTGAATACAACTATTTGTGCTGCATGAACTGCTCTATGACCCATCTGTTATCCTGCTGCTCTCAGGTGTAGTGGAAGATGACGCTTTAGAGTTAATCATGATGATTAACTGTTAGATGAAAAGTGGACAGCTGTAGACTACAACTGTAGAGCTGTCAATTTATGGAGCAATGAAGCACAGGGAAGAATTACAGATGTAGTGGAGACTGGCAGTAGTGACTACTGACTAAAAATATTCCCCTTAAGAGTGATAGTTCTGCTCACTTTATTCTACATCATGCTTTGAGAAAACTAGCATCTAAAATTTCCTGGGGTGACAATGATGGGTTAGTGGTTGCTTAGCTTACTCCACATCTTTGAAGGCTGCTAAAATCTTGCATTATAGGGGATGGAGCCTACATACTGCACTATGTATTTAGGCATGTTTAGGAGTAATGTGTATGAATGGAAGAACACTGACCAAACTGTCTCCCATGTAGCATTTGGGCAGGTAAGCATCAAATGTAGTACAAGGATGATACTGTAGGCACAGAGGAAAAGAGGTTTATCTTAGAGTCCTCTGAGAGACTGAGGAGGTTGTTGCTGTCATGCTTAACATTAGGAAGAATTTCATGACGGTAAGAACTGTTCTACAATGAAACACAGTCCCTTGGAGTGTGGTGGAGTCTCATTCTTAGGAGGTTTTAAAACAGAGGCTGGATAGCCATCTGTCAGGGATGCTTTGACTGTGAGCTCCGCATGGCAGAAGGGGGGATTGGACTGGATGGACTCTACTATTCTATGATCAGGATACACTGATGAAAACTAACTACACTGGACTACTAGGAATGTTATGCACAGAATGTCCTTGTATCAAAGACGTTCATTGGTGGGAAGCAATGGTATCACAGAATAGCAGGCGATGTAAGGAAAAGTAGAGGAAAGAGATATTCCCAAAGAAAGGTGGACAGGGGACTAAGCTAAGCAACGCTTTTGTCAGACAGGCATGGTCCCTCATAATGAGCAGGAGTATGTTTTGGCAGCAGAAAGTGACAAATATTATCAGCTCAAGCTAGACTTGCAAAGTGGACAGCCGAGTCTGGTGGTATCTGGCATTCTGGGAGAGTGAAGAGGCAGATGGAAAAGGAAGCAAGTAAAAGAAGAGGGCAGGCAGATGCCTAATTTTAACCAATGAACACTCTTGCCACGTGAGCATGATCCTCCTGTTCATTAAAGCATTGCATAATTCTACAGAAGCTGTGCTAGGAATTTAGGCTTCAGTGGCTGTAGACAAGAGTGCAGAAATGTAGGCAACAGAAGAGTGACACAACTTGCCCACCACAGAAAAACTAAAAAACTTTGACAGAACAGTGAAATATATAATGATTAAAAATATATAATGATTAAAAAGAAAACCCCAACCATTTAAGGCCACAGTTCAGGCTATCTTATATTAATTCAAGCTCCAGTAAGGAGCTTTTGCAGTAAGGCTAGCGTGGGCAGGAGAGAGGAGCAGGTTTGGACCACTGCCACTGCTCTATTCACACATGAGAAGTGGAGACAAAGGAAGAAGAAGCAGAGAAAGCTGCTGCAGAAGCAGTAGACCTGATATAAAGAAATAACTGTTGGGGGGCCTAGGGTTATCACCCAAGAAAGGGGACAGTAGCCAGAAAAAGTTTGGAGGCCACTGGGTTAAACTGTTTTTCATTCAAACCTACTCCCTAGCTCCTAAACCTGTCATTTAGAATTTCTTTAGGTATCTTGACTAGGACTCTTTTGTGAATAATGCTATTTTCATTCAAAAACAAAAATGAAGGGGAAATGGGGAGAGGAAGCAATTCTTCTGTTAAATGTGAAGGCTCCTCTTTCACAGAAACTGTTGCATCTATCCTCTTGGAATTTAGCTTTTTAAAAACTAGGCCCACCTGTATAGTGTACAATGTTTTCATAATAACTGGCCATAAAAACCATTGAGATGGGTGTAGAGTGCCATTTTCTTGAAAACCTACAAAGTCTAAAGGCTGCTTTCAAAGTTACCTGGAATGATTCATCTGAAACTTGGCTGCATTGATTCCCTTAGAAGGGGCTGCAAATTTCATTCAATTCTGCCAAGAAGTAAAATGTCCCTTCCAAAAAAATAAATTTTAAAAAACCCTCAATGTTGAGACTGTACAGCATAACATATTCTGCACCTAATTGTCTACACTGCAATAGGTGTAAATCCCTTATAATGGTTGAAAATGCCTTCCAGCTGTAATGAACGGAGGGATATATAGCTATTTGTTGCTTTTCAATGATAAACATTGGAAGACACTAATCCCTCAAAAAACATTAGATTGCTGGCAGCATTCTAGCTTTAGAATGAAAGTGAGCATGCCTGACAGAACTCTTGGTAGCAACTGCTGCTATAAAGTTAAATGAGCCATGAAAACTTTAATAATTTTCAAACTGCTGCTCAGACCTTCACCAAGATTTGTTTCCACAGCAAGCCAAAATTGTTTGGTTCACTTGAGTAAAGTAGATCAGAAGTTTTCATCTGAATTTGAAAAAAAATCTATGATATATCTTTCTGAAAAGAAGAGGTAGAAGGGTCAATGTGTCCATTTGCAGCACTATATAACAAGTTGTACGTACATGTAATTTGAAATTCAGCACATTTGCAGACTTCATGAAGGAGATCATGGATGTCAGATTTTAGAAATGTGTCAATTCAATAATAAAATTTTGAGGCTTCTTTGGCAACTCAACTAAAGCAGAACTACTATGTCTATTTAATAATAGGAAAAAGAAGCAGCAGCAGGTAAAAATTAAATACAGTCAGCCCTTTGCATTTGAAGCCTTGACTTTTGCAGATTTGATTATTCACAGATTGAGTAACATGTTTTCTCTAGGAATATCTAGGTCCTTCAGTACAACTTTGCCAGAATTTGACCATACAGTCACAATGGAAGACCAAGAAATTCCTAGACTAAACACTATTCTTGGCATTTGTAAGTCCTCCAGCATGATTCTACTGTCAACTTCCTGTGGATGTTGATCACAGAATTGCATTGGAAGACCTAGAGATTCCTAGATTGGTGTTCTCTCAGGTTAAAAAAACAAAACAGTTTTTTATGTGCAGTTTTTCCACTTTTATGAAAGTCCTGCGCCTCTAACTCAGTGAATGCTGAGGACCCACTGTATACACATACACTAGTATGAGTTAGAATGGAAGAAGAATGAACAATGACCAAGACTGAAACTACAACATAAAAGAGCAAATGGGGACAAAAATGAGGTGATGGTGACACATCCTATGCAACTAAGATGTTCTAAAAGACAGATATGGTAGCCTAACAAAAACAGTGAGCAAGAATAAATTAAATGTGAAAGTTATAAGAATCTTCAATTTATAATAGACTGGATTTGAAAAAGAAGGTTTGCAGGGAAAGGAACATGAAATTATTTGACCCTATTTGGAAGAATAAGGAGGACTAATTTGGGAAGAACATAGAAAGAATGGATTGGAATAATCAGGAAGAAAAACCCAAGCCAACACAATAAATACAAAATGCTCTCAGACAATGCTACTACCTCATTGAGGAATACCTTCCAAAAAAACAGCTATAGCAAAACATGTTTTTGTACGAGTTATAGTCCCTCCTTCAAAGTACACAGTTCCACGATTAGAAGATAAATGTGTCAGTCTCTCAGCTCCACCACCTCTCTTGCCACCATGGCATATTCTAGGAAACAAAATCTAAATTCTGTCAAAATCCCACTTGCCTCTCTGAATCCCTTGACACACTAAATTACACACACACACAAAGAGAGAGAGAGAGAGAGAGAGAGAGAGAGTATGAAACAATTCTGATTCTGGACACTTGAGAGGGAAATGTGCCTCTCCTCAGAAACTGCCACAGATTCTGTTCAAAGCAGCCACATTTGGCTGACATTTGGACAAAGCAAACTATAGTAGGCCCTTTGTATATGCGGGGCATCTGTTCCAGACCACCACCACTCGCATGTGGAAAAAACCGTGGGACCTCAAGTCCACTGATTTAAATGGCAGGGTGGCACGCAGCACAGGCATGCACCATTTTGTCCCCCCAGGCTTGCCATCTGTGTGAACTCAAGTCCGCGTATGGCAAGCCCATGCATGGGATGGGTAGACTGTACTGTAACAAACTACTCAGGAAACAGAAATGTCAGAGACTAGCTATACTAAGATGTACAAGAAATATTTAACAGCAAAGCTCTAGCAATCTTCAG